ACTGGCTGGATGGCAGAGCTCAGAAGGTGGTGATAAATGGGACTAAGTCTAGTTGGAGGCCTGTGGCCAGTGGTGTCCTCCCAGGAGTCAGTACTGGGCCCAGTGCTGTTCAACATATTCATCAATGACTTGAACAGTGGCACAGAGTGCACTCTGAGCAAGTTTTTGGATGATACTAAGCTGGATGGCGTGGCCAACACTTTGGAGGGCTCTGCAGCCATTCAGAGAGACCTGGACAGGCTGGAGAGTTGGGCAGAGAGGAACCTCATGAGGTTCAATAAGGATAAGTGCAAGGTCCTGCACCTGGGGAGGAATAACCCCAGGCACTAGAACAGTTTAGGGGTTGACCTGCTGGACAGCAGCTCTGCAGAGAGGGACCTGGGAGTCCTGGTTGACACCAAGTTAACCATGAGTCAGCAGTGTGCCCTCGTGGCCAAGAAGGCCAAAGGGATCCTGGCCTGCATCAGGAGGAGTGTTGCCAGGAGGTCAAGGGAGGTGATTCTGCCCCTCTCCTCAGCTCTGGTGAGGCCGCATCTGGAATACTGTGTGCAGTTCTGGGCTCCCGAGTATAAGAGGTATGTGGAACTTCTAGAGAGGGTCCAGTGGAGAGCAACAAAGATATTTAAGGGAATGGAGCATCTCTTGTATGAGGAAAGACTGAGTTGGGCCTGTTTACCCTGGAGAAGATTGAAGGGGATCTGATTAATATGTATAAATACTTGAAGGGAGAATGTACGGAGGAAGGGGCCAAGCTCTTCTCAGTGGTGGCCAGTGATAGGACAAGAGACAATGGGTGTAAGTTGAAACACAGGAAGTTCCATCTCCATATGAGGAGAAACTTCTTTACTGTGAGGGCGCCAGAGCCCTGGCACAGGCTGCCCAGGCAGGTTGTGGAGTCTCCTTCTCTGGAGGTCTTCAAAACTCTCCTGGATGCCACCCTGTGCCCCGTGCTCTAGGTGTCCCTGCTGGAGCAGGGGGGTTGGACTAGATGATCTCTAGAGGTCCCTTCCAGCATCTTGCACAAAGCATAAAGACAAAAGGAGGAACAAGCTTTAACACTTAAGAGAATATTAATGAATTGTGGGGCAAAAGTTTTAAAATCTTTATAAATAATGTGTTAGGAAAGAGATCTCCAATCATATCTACTCTTAGAGGGAAAAGTCTGCTTTATGCTTTAGTTGAGTATCTGAGAGTTTTCTTCCATAGGAGCAAAGGGTTAGGGTATTTCTGCTTTCCTGCTTATTGCTTACTGCTTTGCTTATTTGTCCTTCGAGATATGCCTCTGGCACAAGAACATGGCAGTAATGCAGTGGTGTAATGCAGTGTAATGCAGTGCTGTAGATTGTACTTTCCCTGTCATCCAGAGGAAATCATTGTAGAACCCAATAACAGAGCTTTATCCCTAAAGCGGTTTTTGTCCTTGCATCTCCAGAGATGCTCAATAGATTCCTGGATAGATGTCCAAAAGGTGGCTTATTCATCTTACAGTCAGCATCAGTGAGGTGCGTATGCTTGCAATGATGTTGTGCCCAGTAAACAAACAAACAAAACAAAACCCCACCACTTTAAAGCTGGCATCTGTGATTACTTTCCTGCTCTAACATGTCTTGTGCCTAGAGCTGGCCCCATAATTAACTTGCCTGTAGGCTTCATAAAGCACTGGTGTGGGCATTTCTTCACATTCAAGTAGCTTTCTCATCTCATTTTAGAGTGCCATAGGACCCCAAAGCTCTGAAATAGCATGGTAGCTGGAGGCAGTAGTTTAGATGTTTTCTGTTGCCAGATGCTTAACCCTTTGAACTTTAATTGGCTGGGAAATGGTTAAATATCTAGCGTTGATTGTTCATTACTTTAAAAAAAGGGGATAAAATTTTGCAGGAAACAGTTTTTCTTTATTTGATTGCATGCAAAAAATAAAAAAGGAATTCCTAAAGTCTTTTGTAATTGATAAATACATATACAGAATTTCCATTGGCCCTGAAACATCCCCTTAAATATTAGAAATCCTCTGATTTCTTAAAATCTCCATAGCTGTGCTTTAGTACTTTCTTTACAAAGGCCAAACAAAATCCATTGCAATCAGAGAAAAATAATTCCTATTTTAAAATAACTCCCTTAAAAATATTGTTAAAATGATTTTGGGAACAAAATTTTCAGTATTCTTTGAGTTGAAAGAAAAATACCTTAGCAATTTTAGGGGCATATCGTTAACACATATTTGAATCTGCTTTTGAATATGGAACCTTGTAAAAATGCTTTAAATCTGCTAAGTTGGTAGAGATTCAGGAGTCTCTTTGACTGTAGTACACTGTAGTGTTGCAGCTTTTATTTGTGTTGTGATCTCAACACATCCATTTGTTTATGCTAAGAAACAGATATGCAGATACTCTGTACTGATAAGTAGCATAACATCAACTGGGTGCCAAGAGTGTTGTATTTTTAAAGCTAACACTAAGGGAAGAAAAACAGTAGTAGTGTAATGAGACATGAATCTGTTCTCAAAATAAGCAAGTACCATCTCATTCACAGATTTTTTTTTTTTTTTTTTTTGCAGATGGAGCCTGATCTAACTAAGAAGCTAGATCTGTTAACTATATGCTGTTATGACAGTTTATAAACTGTCAGTTTTTCTTGCACAGAGTTGCTTGTGCAGCTATTGCTAAAAATAATTTATGAAATCTGGCTGCAAGGGCAATTTTAGGGATATTTTAAAGGACTGCAGTTTTTATTTTTTGCTCTCTGAGAAGGCACTGAGCTCACATGAAATCCCATTTAGATATCTCAAACAGAGATCCCAAATGCAGCAACATAATAAATTTGTGTCCAGAACTGGACACCTTATGAGGTATTTTTGCTTTAGTCTAATGCAAATAATGCAAAGAACTAATGTATAGTGATACAAATTGAAAATGTTCTGTGCTATTGAAGTGTGAGAAGAAGAATTCTGGTTAAATACTATGGTAGTCTCCAGGTCTGTACTACAAAGTACCTTATAAATGTACCATACTGCTAGCAGAATATGAGAATACACATCTGAGCAGTATCATGAAATATTAGTCTGATACTGTATAATGAATGAATGATCTTATCCGATCTCTTCAGAATGAGCTCAAAGCAGTGTACACCATGACTACAAATGGTCTTATTTTAATACTTTTATTCTTTATATTCAGTAGAACTATTACTATCTTTGGTGACTAAGAATTTATTTCATTTCTTTGGATGCATGCTTGACAGGGCCGGTGTCATATCAAATTCCTTAAATGTTTGGTCATCTCCATCTCACTGTCACTAAAGTGAGATTCTTTTAGAGTGCACATACTTAAACACATTTCCAGGTTCTGCAACAATATCTTGTATTTTTGCCAACCAAATGAGATATGACATTTAACTATTATAAATAATTTAATTATTAGATAATTTAACCTGTTCATCTGGCTTCCCAAGTGGCCAGCTCTTTGTAGAATAAGTTTTTAATAGGCCTTAGATGAGATCGTTGCATTCATTTTAACTGCGATCTAGGCCATACCTCAAAGTAGGCTAAAACCTGAATTCACCAAGTAAGAATACCCACAGCTATTAATTTGTAAAAGAGCATCCTTCAGAAGTTTTTGTGGCTGATCCACTTTCTAAATCGAGCGATATACCTGATGATTCATTATAAATTTCTTTCAAAGTTGGATTTTTCATTTGTTTGATATGTACTGCAGTCCCTGGTATTATTGGGAAACAAGAGTAATATTTTGCTGGGCTCAAGCAAAATGTGTCTCTACATTGGAAATATATATTTAATGGTTCCATGTAGGCATACAGTGACTGCAAAAACTGACAGATTGGTAGGAATGGAAACTCAGATCTGGGGGGAAGGAGTGCATCAGACACTATAGAGCCAGACAACGACAGCTTATCGTCACAGACTGCAAATCACTTTCATTGCCGTGGGTGCTAATGCCTTTTCAAAAAAGTCTTGCACTTCTCTTTTTCTGTTTTTCTAGCACTGAAGCATTAGTGTTCAGTTGACTGACATAATTCTGAGAAATTTGAAGTAGTCAAGATTGTCTCTGAAGCATTCTCAAAAGCTTATAGAACTTTTTCTGGGGTACCTGCAGATCATTTACACAATCCCTGAGAATGTGACTGAAATTACTCTATTGTTCTTTCTTTCCTTAATGCTTCAAATTTTGTAGCCTTGCTTCAGAATATTTAGTTATTTTTTACATGAGCTTTTCCTTCTCAGTGGGAAAACATGAAGATCTATAAGCTGCTAAGCTAGGCACTTCGATTAAGTTCTCAGAGTTAAATGGGACAAATTTGGGTCTTAATATCCAGTGGTGGATGATGATCTACATAGCAGCATGGTATTGCAGTATTCCAGAGCAAAGCTGTGGCATTATAGCTTTGAAACAGAAGGGCTTTCTCTATGTTTGCCACAAGTCAAAGACAGTAGGAAAAGACTGAAGACAATTTATAAAATGATGACTGACAAGAAATGGAAAAAACCTATCACAGTGGAGTTAGTGCTATCTAGCATTGCATCTGTCATGAGTGTTACGAGATCTGTTTCTGTTTCCTTTTGTATTACTGGCCCAGTCTGTGCACTTACAGCAATCATGGAATCTCTCCATGTTCATACCCTACGGGATAAATGCTGTTCAACACTGCAGTGTCTTCAGCTACGAGTTGTGCATCTAAAAGTCATGATTTAGACCATTGCTTATGCTGTGCAACTATAGCATAATACGTACAATGAAACTGAACCTGATTTTTAAGCTTTTCAGGTTATCAAAGGATCTTATTCCTTGTGGTTTATATTGATAATGAATACTTCAAAAAACATCTTTAAAGTTGCCATTGCCTGACTTAATATGAACTACTTTAGCTGACATACTGGGAAATGTAATCTGAAAATATCATTTATAAATAACCCATCTGTCTTGACTCAAACTTCATAACTTTTATTTCATGCTTTTATTTATGGCATTATTTCTGCATCTTCTCAGGTACCCCTCATTGGAAGCTGAAGGAAGAACACAACAAGAGAGCAGAATGTCTTCAGTTTCAGCTTATTACAATGGAAAGACTGTACTCATCACAGGAGCTACGGGTTTCATGGGCAAAGTACTGGTGGAAAAACTACTGCGTTCCAGCCCTGAAGTGAAAGCTGTTTATATACTTGTAAGACCAAAAGCTGGACAGTCAATGCAAGAGAGAGTGGCAAATATGTTGAAATGCAAGGTACGTTTCTGTATTTTATTTTAGACTCTAAATAGAAATCTATTTATATGGGTGCAGCAGAGGACTTTTTGATATATTCTGCACATAAAAACCAAAATCTTTTCTGGTGCTTTAGCCTTTGTATATTTTTGTTGTGTCTACGCAACAATATCACGTATACACAACAAAAAAGAATTTTTGTGTGGTTGAACTCTGAACCTGACTCATTTTAATAGTGATGCAGGATTTAAAACTGCAGTGATACAATTCTTCTGTCTTTCTTTCCACATTGCTGATTGTTGAGAATTCATTTTTTTTCAAGAACCTAGTGCAGTAAATGTGTCAAGACATTTATGAAATTGCTGGTAATAGTAAATGTTCTGTGTAAGGGTTCAAATTGTTAATTTTTACTAAATGCCTTTTAGCATTTAGCTTTCAAGAGCAGCCTTTTCTCCTTCCCTACTTCAAAAATGAATGTTCAAACTTTAGCATTCAGAAATAAAGGTGAGTGAGAGCACGTTACACCCTTCTTCTTGCCTTTGCAAGGATGTGAAATAAACACACTGCCAACATAAATCCTGGTATTTATTTCATAAGATAAGGCTTATGTTGCTTGTTAGCAACCTGTAGTGGGATTTGCTGCAGTACGTTTAGGTATCTGCTGTCTTTTGTTGTCAGCTGTAGGTTAACTTTGGTTATGAAATGCTAAAATACTCCTGAGTTGGAGGAGGGTGTTTTTCAAATCTACCTGCAGCAGAGTACATAGGTTACGTCAACGCATTGTGTTGAAGAAAAGACCCATGTGTCTTCCATAAGCACTTGTTTCTTTTGGTCTTTTGGCCTGCTGCCTCAGTGAAGGTAAGACTTTAAGACTTCTAAAGCTTTGTTTATATTATTTGCATAAATATTACGGGATTATTCTTTCAATTGCTCAGCGCAGCTTAGTGTTGTTTTTAGCTCTAGGTGATGTTCCTAGTAGCTGTTTTAATGTTGCAGCTGTACGAGATGTACCCTTCCTTTTTCTAGTATGTATCAGCAGTTTTAGACTTGACCATAGCAACAGGACTTAATAAACTCTCCTTAAACCTTGTGACAGCCTGTTTCAATGGGTTTCAAGTGAATAAAAGCAGGAGGCAGGTCCCTAAGTTTGGTTACTGCAGCTTTGAAAGGAAAAAAACCTTAGGGAGTGCACTCAGAAATTGTTCAAGCACCTCAAGGAAAAAGGTGGGGTTGTGCTCTGGAATTTCTCATTTTCACATCCTAAAAAGGAAGATTTCCAGGAACCAGATAAATAGATAGAAACAGCTGCCAGCTTCTAAATATTCTAGAGAAACAGATGAAAATAGTAGTGTGGATGAAGTAAGATGAAAATAAAAAGTAGATTTACGGGAATTATTTCTATTCTATAATGTGTAAGTTCTTTTTAGTAGTCTTTACAATGTTTTAAAAGAAACTACTTATTGTTTTTGATCTCTCTTCATAAATCTTTTTGCATTCTTCAAAATGTGAGTGATTTCTGTAATTATATCTATGTGAGTTTAAACTATGAAGCATCACTTTTGTGAACTCTCCAGTTCACAGTGTGTACATGCAAATGCAATGAAGGAGGACTACTTGGAATATTTCAAATTCAGAGTTGATCATGAAGAATGAAATCTAAAAATAGTTTGGATATAAATCAGAATCCTTCTGGAGTAGCTGAGCATATGGCATTGAAATGTAATATAAAAGTGATTTTCCTCAGATGTTGTAAAATCAGTCTGACGTGAAAATGCATTATTGTATTAATATGAAATGTTTTAATAAGCAGTTACATAATTTTCTCCATGTCAACTGCAAATTGAAAGTGTGCATGGAAGAATGTGTAGAACATGGTGACCTTGCCTATTTGTGAAAGATGTTCTATTTTTCCAGCAGTGTCTCCCCAAGGGAATCAAGCCATCACCCTATGCTTAATGAAATGTCATATCTGGATAGGGCAGAGCACAGCTGTCACATACACACAAAAAAACCTGAAACATTTCAGTATTGGCTTCATCCTGAATGTATCTGTAGTTATGGATCACAAGGCAAAGCTTAGAAACACTGTATTATGCAGTAGGCTCTGGCATGCTTAGCCTGGTGGTGGATCCGAAGGAGGAGGTAGAAAGGCTCAGGGCCATCAGGGAATGCAAAAGAGAAATAGACTGGTGGAGCTGCGTTCTGCAGTCCTCCACGGAAAGCCACCCAGAGAATCCCCCGGTTCAACCTGGAAATCCAGGGAAGAGAATTAGCAGTATCCAAAGATGAACAACAATGAAATGGGTCCCTGTTTGTGGTGGTAGGAGAACCCTTCCCGGCCCACCTCACCCTGCCAGTGACCACGTCCAGCAGATATGAGGCCCTGGACCTTGGGGAGCAGACAGATGAGGACATGAACCAAGGCCCATCTAGGGGACCGTCTGCAGAGAGACAGACAGCTCCATACCCTGAGGCTGCTTCCCCGGAAGAAGCGGTGGATGATCATCGTAGGTGACTCTCTGCTGCAGGGCACAGAGGCACTGATGTGCAGACCCAACCCCTTATCCAGAGAGGTCTGCCACTTGCCAGGGGCTTGAATAAGCTATGTTACAGAGAGGTTCCCACAGCTCGTCCAAGAATCTGACTATTATCCCCTGCTGCTCTTTCACGTGGGTGCAAATGATGCCCTGGGGAAACTGTCTGACATTAAGTGAGATTACAGAGCCCTAGGGATGGCTGTCAAAGGTATGAGAGCTCAAGTTGTGTTCTCCTCCATCCTACCAATGAGGGGGAATGGATTAAAGAAGGAGAAGACAGATATTTCAGTTCAAGAGCTGACTACACCACTGGTCTTGGCAACAGGATTTTGGCTTCTATGAATATGGGACTCTGTTTGATGACCACCAGCTAGTGAGACATGATTGGAATCACCTAAGAGGTGGGACAAAAGAGGGGCAGGCATGTCTTTGCCAAAAGGCTGGCCAGCCTGGTTAGGAGGGGAGGAAGCAAGAAGGGGGAAGGGCAGTGTCACACAGACAGGGCAATCAATACCACGCAACCAAAGTCAACGGGCATCTAACAGGTGATCTGTGTGCAGTCCCAGCATCACGATCTCATAGGTATCACAGAAACATGGTGGGATAGCTCAAACAATTGGAGTGCTGTCATGGAAGGCTATGTGCTCATTAGGAAGGACAGGCTGGGAAGGCGAAGTGGTGGAGTTGCTCTGTATGTGAGAAAGCAACTGGAATGCATGGAGCTCAGCCTGGGAGTGGATGATGAGCAGGTGGAGAGCTTGTGGATATGGAATAAGGGGAAGGCTAACATGGGAAACACTGTGGTAGGTGTCTGCTACAGGCCACCTGACCAGGAGGAGGAGGTTGATGAGGCCTTCTACAGACAGCTGGAAGTTGCCTCAGGGTCACAGGCCCTGGTTCTCGTGGGGGACTACCCTGATATCTGCTGGAATTATAACACAGCGAGGCACAAACGGTCCTGGAGGTTTCTGCAGTGCGCTGATAACAACTTTTTGATGCAGGTTGCGGAGGAGCCAACGAGGAGAGGTGGGCTGCTGGACCTCATACTGACAAACAGAGAGGAACTCATTGGAGATGTGATGGAGGGGGGCAGCCTTGGCTGCAGTGATCACGAGCTAATGGAGTTCAGGATCCAATGAGGAGGAGGCAGGGGAGTAATTAGCCTTGTAACCCTGGACTTCAGGAGGGCCAACTTTAGCCTCTTCAGAGACCTGCTTGGAAAGATCCCATGGGCTAGGGTTCTACAAGGAAGAGGGGCCCAGGAGAGCTGGTTAGTTTTCAAGCGGCACTTCCTCCATGCCCAGCAACAGTGCAACCCTGTGTGTAAAAATTCAGGCAGAGGGGGCAGGAGACTTGTGTGGATGAACAAGGACCCTGTGGCAATGCTCAAGCAGAAGAAGGCGGTATACAGAATGTGGAAGAAAGGACAGGCCCCTTGGGAGAAATACAGGAACGTCATCAGGGATTGCAGAGATGCCACCAGGAAAGCTAAGGTGTGTTTGGAAGGTAATCTGGCAAGGGATGTTAAAAATACCAAGAAAAACTTCTTCAAATATATTAACAACAAAAGGAAGGACATCAAAAATATAGGTCCATTGGTGAATGAGGTGGATGCCCTGGTTACAAAAAAAAGAAAAAACACCTCCATCCCTGGAAAAGTGATGGAACAGCTCATCCTGGCTGCTGTCTCCAGACACATGGAGGAGAACCGTCCCGCACAAAATCCTTTCGGGCAAGCTTTGGAAGTGTGGCATTGATAAGTGGACAGTGAAGGTGGATTAGGAACTGGCTCGATTGCAGAGCTCAGAGGGTGGTGATCAGTGGGGCAGAGTCTGGTGGGAGGCCTGTGGTTAGCTGTGTCCCTGGGGGTCAGTCCTGGGTCCAGTCCTGTTCAACGTCTTCATTAACGACTGGATGAAGGGATGGAGTGCTCTCTCAGCAGGGTTTGCTGATGATACGAAACTGGGAGGAGTAGCTGATACCCCAGAGGGCTGCGCTGCCATCCAGAGGGATATGGACAGACTGGACAACTGGGCGGTGAGAAACCTCATGAAGTTCAACAAGGGCAAGTGCAGGGTCCTGCACTTGGGTAGGAATAACCCCAGGCACCAGTACAGGCAGGGGACTGACCTGGAGAGCAGCTCCGCAGAGAGGAACCTGGATGTTGCTGTGGACAACAAGTTGACCATGAGGCAGCAGTGTGCCCTCATGGTCGAGAAGACCAACGAGATCCTGGGGTGCATTAAGAAGAGCCTCTCCAGCAGGTCGAGGGAGGTTATCATCCCTCTATGCACAGCCCTCACCTGGATTAAAGTGTCCAGTTCTAGGCTCTCCAGCACAAGAGGGATGTGGAGCTGCTGGAGAGAGTCCAGCACAGGGCTACGAGGATGATCAGGGTCCTGGAACATCTGTCCTATGAGGAAAGGTTGAGAGAGCTGGGCCTGTCCAGCCTGGAGAAGAGAAGGCTGAGGTGGGACCTGATCA